AAGCCTGTCATTATTGTTTTCTTTATCTTTAGACAAATGCTAATGATATGTAAATTATATGCAAATTAGCCGCCACTCTGATACATTTTTCTGGGGAGAACACTGGATAGGCAAGAAATGAAGGATAATTATTGAACACGTACACTAGATTAACAAATCAGCATGTTGACAATCTTGATAAAATAGTGAATCCCACAAAGCAGCTATCAGTCAAATGGCGCCATCAAGTCTAGAACGAAGCAAAAGCCAAGTGTTTCGCAAACTGAATGTCTGAAAAATTTCCAGTACTGCTGTAAGCAAGTTTGCTAGCTACCCAAGTACTTCAGAGACATGTCAGAGTAAATCGGAAGGATGTCTTAAGTTGAAAAAAGAAAAACAAAAGATTTTTAAAATTAACTGTGTGAGGGCAATATTCATTATTCCATGAATATGTTTCAGATAACATGTGACCAGTTCTTTCATTCTTTATATAACATTCTACTAGGTAACTTATATGAATCATATTCTATAAATAACGTTACTTATCTTTACTAATGAATACTACAATTTTCTTCCATTACTTTGCTTAGCACTACTATCACCGATACAACCCATACCGATATCAGGTATTCCTATACAAATCGCATGTTTTAAAACATCCCATTGGTGATCCATGGTAGCGGGATACTGTTTATTTCTTTCAGCTATATCTACGTTAATTTATGCAATGTTACCGTCATCTGGTGATGGCTCATCTTGGCCTGATGTTTTGGTTTTGCCCTGTGTGAGGTGAAGGCTGTAAATCTATCGGTTCAAATCATATTTCTGTGGCCATTTGTGGGATGGCTATCAATGTGTCTATTCTCTTCTGTCTTCTCTTGCTGACTGTCAAATGTCTGTTCTGTGTGGACTTCTCTCTGACATTGTTGATACATGGGTTTATTTTCTGAAGGTGGATGAATACAAGGTTCTGTGTCGGTAAGATGAGGTTTGCTTTGGTAGATGCTGGTGAAAAGGTCTGCCTGAATTGAACTATTTTTGAGTAATAATTATTTAAAATAAATATGAACCGTTGGGGTGTTGTCATTAATTCAGTGCTGGTATATATGCAATGTGTGCTTCCTTGACTGCTTGCTTGATAAAAAAAAATTGGTTCTTTGAAATCATCAGATTTTCATTTTGTGTGCCATTGATGCAACGCTTGACCCTTCAGCTGCCGGAACTTCGGAGGAACACTGGACTTGATGGTGGTAGTTGATGTGTACTTGGTTATTGGATCTTGAACCCATTGTAAAAAAAAAAAGTGTTTTGATCCGTTCATGTTATGCAGCTAGTATTATCTATTAGGATCGCCACCAAATAATATGAAATGATAGGGTTTGCCAGAATCCACCACTGATGGTACCAAATTAATTAGTCCTGAAGATCGGGTACTCTATCTACTCATCTCTACAGCTTGAAAGTCTTGGAAAAGTACATACCCCACCTGAATGTGTTGATGTTTTTCACAATTTCAATTACAGATAGTAACGGTAGTCTATTTCAGGGTTTTAAATTTTTGCCATTGATTCATTGTTGAAGTTGTAGGACTGCGAGTGTTCAATGATTTTTACTCTCACCTGTCTTTGTACATGTATACGTGATGATATATACATATACATGTACATGTCGCAACTCACTAACAGCTTTTGGTATCAAACTTGTGACGACTCTGCATGGTTAGGTGGTCTTCACCTGTGTTAAAATAACTGTCTGGCACTGCTGGTTGTTTTGCATTATTTCATATCACGTGGACATTTACTGCCACCTTCACGCCATTAGAAATTTTTGTTTTATAGTCCTTTTCATTTTACAGCTGTCGGTCATTTCAATTCACTTTATTAATTGTGATCTGTTTTCTTATTTATTTGCAGTACCAAATGCAGCAGTATCAACAGCAGGTTAGTATTTTAATACACCAGATTAACCTATGTTGCACTAAATTATTCATGTCTTTATTCTATAGATCAGCTAGTAATTTGACTCCAGGTTTATGCTTAATAAAGTTTATTTTTAATTAACTGACTATGACGTTATACCATATAATGATTACTGGTAGTGTGAACATTTCTTTAAAACCTGTGACATTCAGGGCTGAGAAAGTTTCTTGAAAGTAAACTACCTTTTGTTATGTTTTTAAGCAGTCGTTCTGTATTTCTCATACACAATTTTGGAATTGATGTGAATTACATACAAGATTGTTCCTGATTGGCTACCAAACCCTAACACCTAACAGTCGGACCAATCAGAGAGTAGTTTATTTAACATTTTTTTTTTTATGTATGAAATTCTACCTTGTATATGTACTTGACTCAACTGCACTTTAGCTTCCTAATTTTGAATGACCGCGCCTTTATAATTCTGCCATGGGTGCTGCACAAATGACTTCAACTACCAAAACTATAATTTCCCCTGCTTCTCATCATCATCATAATCTTAATAAAAACCCTGTTGATTACAACAGCATTTTCATAACATGCAACAACATATTTTGATTATATCCTTCCTTGTATAGTTTTTTGACTCGCATTTTCATTTCTTCTTTCTGTAGCAATTACAAATGCAACAGGTTCAGCAGGTACGTACATTGATTATCAATCCCTGCAATGAAATGAAAACCTGCATCGCATTTCAATTCATTCTGACCATGTATGGAATGTTAGAGATATAAAGATTAGTTTAACACTACTCTCTGTCATCATCCATACTGAACATTATTCAACTCGACTCTCTGCACTGTAGTTGCTAACACCGTTGTTATTTACCATTCATATCGGGCATCCATGGAAGTTTTAAACTGGGCTGTCACTGTAACGCCATAAGTTACAGCGTGCTGTATTTTACAGGGTATTTTCATTCTAGCATATTAGGAAATGCGAATTCCAAATATGGAATGATTATGCGCGTAAGCATTCTATAATAGTAAAAACAAACGTGGCTGCCACTAGGGTTTGACCGGACTCCACACAAAGAAGTTCGCTGATTCTGTTCTAAACGTTTTGGATTTCGGCATTCCCATGATGTATCCTTGGAAGGAAAAGATGTATAATAATAAGGTTATTACAAGGATACTGCAAAGTATTTTATGTGTTAAGTGCAAACCTGAAATATTTGATGCTTTGCAGCAAACTGATTTGGAAGAATAAATCATCATTAATTAGCCTCAATCATCCAGTGCTAAAAATTATCCTATCAACATGGAACAATATTCACTTGCCTGGCATTTCACCCCAGATACAAAACGAGTTGAAAATGAGGACTGAATATCTGATCAGCTAACAGCCTCTTGTAAATTGCAGAAATTGCCCTCCCCAATCTTTAAATCTGAATATAGCCACATGACCACTGACTTAGCCTACTGTTTATCTAGTAGTTTTTTGTTGTCATTAGTAAAATGCTTACTGACATGTACACTCTTTCTCGGTGCAGGTACAGCAACAGATGCAGGCATTACGTGTCGGCGGTGGCGGCAGCACCGCCGGTGTCCCTGCACAGATGGGATGGCAGCAGCCAACACAAGGACTACAGCCAGGCATCTCTGCTGCAGCTGGAGCCGGCGGTTGGGGAGCTATGACTGGCTCAGGTCAAACTTTAAGTACTCAATTGTGGAAGTAACATGAAGATGGGAATATTCAAAAATCAGTGATTGGTTGGTCAGTTGAATTTAAATTGAAGTCTACAAGCCCATTGGTCACTTTGTAATAAAATTTGAATACGCTGGATCATTCACAATTTTGATGCAGCTTAAATTATAACTTTCTTTCAATTCGTAACTATTGACCACTTTTACCCAAATTAACTTAAAATTCTCTCTGTATGCATAACAAGCATGTATATATTTCTTGCCTACAATTGGGATCCAGTTTCAGGTACTCTTGACCTTGTAATGACGCCTCATTTTCAAACTTCATTGCTAAAGTCTATGCTGCATTTTGTTTTGTTGTATAATACCCAGATGTGGCATGGTCGAGAATATACACAGTACTTTTCAGCATTTTCCGGCCATGGTATTGTAATATAAAGTATTGTAATATAGCACATTTGAAATCAAAAATTCCCAAGTTTGTTAAGTTCAATTCATTTAAACTTTACAAGGGACTGAACAAATTTAGTATTATTCCGGCTGTATATTTTTTTCCTTATTTACTGTTCTTTGTCATTTACCGTTTGTCTCCACATAAATCTTTCGGAAGAATGGCAATGAAAAATGTTTTCATTTCTGTGTTTGGTTAAGAAGTGCAGATCAACTCCATTGTTGTCTCCATTGTTGATACTGTCACCATATAACATGGGGAAGGTTGATAAAATTCTCAGCTGAATCTTGAAAAAAAATTATCCGTTGTTAGCCTTGAGTCCATAACTTATCAGGAGTCTTATCATAGTGAGATTGTATCTCTCGGTTCATTCTCTATGATGACTCTGTTATAAATAACAATGAAATTACAATCATTTATTTTTGTTCAATTTCTTTGCCATAAATAATACCAGTACTCTCAGCATATTGTCCCAAGCCCACAATTAAACAGCAAACACTCGCTAATTTACATAAAATTCTGACTGGCGAGATCTTGTCGATTTTGATAGCGACTATGGATAGGACAGTAGCACTGTTGATGCAATTTCACTCCAATTTCTATTAACAGCGTGTTTTTTTTTCTCACCAGCCCAATCACTGGTTTCTGTTTATGTTATTTAAAACTTCTTTTTTCTCCAAGATACAAAATTTAAATGTATTTTCTCTGGGTTTGTATTATTTATGTCAGCATTTGAAGTTTTCTGTCATTTGTTTTATTTTTTTCTCGGGGAAATTTGCTATCTTCAAATCAGGGTATAATTTTGTGGCTGAATCACACCAGACTTCTTTACTTCTCCCTCTATGGTATTGGTACGGTCCATTTTCTACTGTATGTGGGCTGTACCATTAACATAAATTGCTGGTTGCTGGTAATTGTACAATGTATTTTAGTATATGTAATTGATTATTATGATTCCTGTATTTTAACATGCGGTAAGGTGGTTGCCATGGTAATACATTAACATGTAAAATGGTGGCTTTCAAATGGACACGTTGACTTGTATTATGTTTGTTTGTATTTCCTTGCAGCCATGTTTGTAAGATTGTGCAAAAATGTAAATAAACAGCGAACTTGACCCATTTGTATATGTGTTGCTACGTGTTGCTACGTGTAGTATCCATATCAAAATGACCCGCTTTAGTTGACCCTTTGAACACCAATGTCTATTTTTGTCACCATTCAGAAAACTAAATTTGTTTAATTTTTTCCATACTTTAACAAAGATTTTTATCAGATCTGTATCCAATAAGATTCAAAACTAACAAAAACTTTAAAAATGTGCAAAATTTTACTCAAAAGGGGCTCAAATGGTCAATGTACGTATTGCATTACATGTAATGTATTAGAAAAAAATGACTGCATTTTTACACGAAAGTTTTAATATATGTTATATATGGTTTCAGTCGTTTGGTAGGATTACCATTAGACTGGCCAAGCCTTGGCAATTTTATTGTTTTATATGATAATTTCCTTTAAGAATGAATTTGTAAAATTTTCTGTTCTCACACAATTTTACCATGATTGGACCATTCTGCTGCGCCCTCTAGTGGTAGCAGCACTTGGTGTGTGGGTTTTAAAGCTTGTAAGCTGCTGCCCGCTGAGAAGGTAGCTTTCAATCTGACCTGTGAAATCTGGGCAAATGAAATTATTTGTGTAGGCACACGTCTGCTTCCCTTTTTGGAAGGTTGAACCTTGTACCAGGGTTGCATAACGTCACTGCCTATCGCAAACAATTGACAGCAATGGATTATCCAGTCGTGTAATTTTACGTTTGAAGATTTGAAGAAGAAAAAATGTTAGATAAATCAATGAAATTATCATGGCTGTACCTGTCTGTTACCATATTGGAAATACACCTACAGTTAGTCTGAGAGAAATGTATTACGATTTGGTGGAGGGGGTGGGGGTCACAGAATCGTGTAGCAGTAAACATTTCATTGTGGTCCTTGAGACAAGTATTGCGACTTGGATATGTGAAATAAGCTTTTAATGTGCAAATGTGCGGCACCAAAATAGTTTACTGTGCATTGTTGTTGTACAAACGGACAAAACGCATCCATTTCACATTGTTCTTCACAAATTCTTTTCTCCAGACCATATTCTCTCCGTTAGAAGTGCATGTTGTGTTGTTAGCCAGAATCTACATTTGTATTTCATAAGTCACTATTTTGATGCAACATGCACTTTGTCATTGACAAATCAACCTTGTAAAAATAGCTCAACATATTGACAGATGAGAGCTGAAAACATTTTCCAAAAACTTGTTGCGTATTTGGCTTGTGTTGCGTTAATGCAGAAATTTAGGGAATGCAGTACTATTAAATGCTTTAATTTTCTGAGAAAAATGTAAATATTGCACGATTATGTGGAAAAATTTCGCTGGCTCTTCAAGTTTTCAGTGAAATTTAGTGAGCGTTGACAATTTTGCGACTTGCAGTGGTTTGTACATTCATCATTCAAATACAACAAAGTCGTATTAAAGATCCTCTGTATCTGTTGACCTATTTTTCCCAGTCAGCCTCGTGTTCTTATTTTTGTGATGAGTGGTCATGTGTACGATGTTCCACATACTACTCGGAGTGGTGGAAAACACAATTTTATTATTAGAGAAGTTGTGAAATCTGTTAAGTTATCCTATGTGGGGAAAAAAAAAAAAAAAAAACAATTTATAAATTTACTGAACAGTGTAAGATTGATTTCTGTGAATATTTGTAGTTGTATATTTTTAAAGAAAGATTCTTGTATTATCACTTGTTTTAAATATTTGTGCATGTATGGTGGCATAATAGATATAAAATGGCTAAACTGATTACTGGTTCTTGAAGCATTCCGTCACGTTCAACTATGTAATAACAAACTTAACCTCATTCAAGCTACATTTTGTATTCTAATATTTATCATCATTCCAGACCTTTTATTTGCCTAACTTTATTCCAAACTCACCTGACAGTATTTGCCTAACTTAACTCCAATCTAGGATAACAGTATTTACCTAACTTAGTGCTAATCCTGTGCAATAGTTTTTGCCTTGCCTCCAATCCTCACAACAGTATTTGCCTAACTGAGCTCCAACTTCTATGCGACAGTGTTCTAACTTTGTGAACCCTTGCCTGTTGTGCAGAATTCTTGGATGCTAGAATTGACCATTTACTATTGTATAATAGTTACTTGTATATTAATCCAGATGACAGACAGTGTCAAGACGTATATTTTTTTTGAATTTTTTTGTGAATTTGACTCAAATCACTTAATTGTATGATCGAAGCTCAACGCCAGCTTTTTTTATTATTATTTTGTTGTGTTTTTAGTCAAGTTATATATACATTTGAAGATTAGTATTTTGATTATAAAGCCATTTTGTTTTGTAGTTAAGTTTGAATTGATGATGTCGCCCAAATAAGTCATAACTGATACCATATATGGTATGAAATGAAGATGAAAAGTTTTTTTAGTTAAGAAGGGAGAACACTGATCAGGATGTTGGGTCATTGACCATCATCAAATGAAGGAAATTTGGATTTCATCCTTGTTGGAGGGCTGCTGCATGTTCAAATTGGTAGCATAAAACATTGCAAGTAAAATGCATTGTTTATATAAATTGTTGCATGTAACAACTTGCACTTTAAAATGCTTCAATCACTGCTTTCCCATCATGCTTTCCATTTTTGTGAAAACTATATTTTACACATTCTGTGGGACCCATATCGAACACGAGTGTTTTAAAGCAGGGAGGAGTCGCCTGCACATGCGTCAGATGGCCATAGCTTGTCATTGTTTAAAAACAAGCATTTACCCATAAGCTTTTGCATTTTTAGCGTGTGTTATCGTCGCTTGGGACCTTATTCTCGTACGTGTGCAGGTGACGACCCTCTCGCTTTAATATTTAACAGTTATTACCAACCATACAGATATTGAGGGTTTGTGTCCATCATGGAGATTAGAACAAAATAAAAGTACACATTTTTTTTTTTACATTTGGGTTTGGAGTAAATCAAATATTTTCAACAACAAAAATTACCTATTTATGTTTATGTTTCTTTTTCCTCTCTTCTCTGGCAGTTGAAAAAAAAAAGATAAATGTCAGCCAATCAAAGTAGTTGTGTATGATTGGTTGGTTCACAATATTCACATATTGGACACTTTATCAAATATTGAGCAGTTAGACCTTTCATTTTTTGGGGTGGTTTTTCTCTAGTGAGAATACTGCATGGCGTCTATAGACAATGACAGATTTTGTCAACCTGTAGATTTAGAAGAAAAAAAATGCACCAAACTGCTAAAGATTAACTCAACCGCAGCCATCCAGCCATGGAACTAAACCCCCTTATGTGTTGAAGCACTACAGTCGTTACACTATGTTAGATAGGACGTATGCAACAAATGTGCTCTACAACGACTGTAGCACTTTACTAAAAATTGTTTAGTACATTATTATAGATGCTGTTGAGTCATACACCAATCTCAAACTCTTGTGCTGTGTATTTTGTATCTTCTGCTTGAATGGTCTGCCTCCACAGACTGAATGACTAGCAGAGACAGTGGATGAGAAAACCAGAAATGTGCTAGAAATGTCTTTAATTTATCAGTACAATATGCAATGTATTTTATGGTCTATTTATTGTAGTAGAGCCTTTGGTGAAAAAAATAATCATAATGAGCGTTGTTTAATCAGTCAAAGCACCAAACCTTGTCCCTTTGATGTGTACTATACTGAATAAATAAAGTTAAACTGTGAATGGAGTCTTTGTTTCATCTTAGCTGGTATATTGCATGTGAACAAAATGGTAAAATATAGATTCTGAATACAAGACGTATTGCCCTAGATCGTACATTCTTTATTTTTTAGCTCCGCTGTTGACTTTGTCGAGCGGAGCTTATCATATGAGTGATTGTCCGGCGGCGTCGTCCGTGTCCATGTTTTACTTTTTTGACTTCTTCTTGAAAACTACAAGCCTGAATGCTTTGATACTTTGTGTATATGTACCTTGGGCAGACCTCTCTTAGATTTGTTCATTTCATGATCATATCTTCAATTCTCTAATTTTGGTGAATATTTTTGTAATTTTTGGTAAAAAGTGATATTTTTGACTTCTCGTTAAAAAACGCAAGTCCAATTACTTTGATATTACATATATAGGTACTACTGGTACATGTAGATCTTTCTCAGATTTGTTCATTTTGTAATGATATCTTTAGTTCTCTAATTTTGGTGAATATTTTTGTCATTTTTGGTAAAAAGTGATATTTTCGACTTCTTGTTAAAAACGGCAAGTCCAATTGCTTTGATATTACATATATAGGTACTACATGTGTACCTCTCTCAGATTTGTTCATTTTGTAATGATATCTTTAATTCTCTAATTTTGGTGAATATTTTTGTCATTTTTGGTAAAAAGTGATATTTTCGACTTCTTGTTAAAAACCGCAAGTCCAACTGCTTTGATATTACATATATAGGTACTACATGTGTACCTCTCTCAGATTTGTTCATTTTGTAATGATATCTTTAATTCTCTAATTTTGGTGAATATTTTTGTCATTTTTGGTAAAAAGTGATATTTTCGACTTCTTGTTAAAAACAACAAGTCCAATTGCTTTGATATTACATATATAGATACTACATGTGGACCTCTCTCAGATTTGTTCATTTTGTAATGATATCGTCAGTTCTCTAATTTTGGTGAATATTTCCAAGATTTATGAATCATTTTCATTCGTATTTGGCACATCAAAGATGGCCGAATAACGGCTGTTTTTATTTTTGGCCATATTACTATATCTCTGTCATTCATGTATCATTTTAATCAATATTTAGCATGTCATAAATGGATACATGTACATGTCAATTCAATTGATCAAATATGGCCAACTGGTGGCCATCTTGTTTGTTTAAAATCTGATAACTTGGACATGCTTAGACATTTTTGAATCGGGCCTATGCCTAGCTTACTCTTATTCAACGCATTATTTTGAACTGATATTTATTAAAACTGCAAACTTGAGGACACTCCCTTCACCATATTATTCAACACAAGAGGGTGCTTGACTTGTAGAAAGGGTCTATTAGCCACTTTAGTCCAGAACTAACAATACAATTACAAAGAGTTGCAATTGCTGTATTCCCTATTACAGAATCTCAAATTTGATCATTACACATATGTTAACATTGTAAGCCCCATGTAAAGATTTATTGTCAGGCACCATGGCAACAAGCATTCATATTCATGAGATGTATGGTAATGTAATTTTAGTGCCTCATTCCCATCCTCAGACTTGCATTTTCTCAAACATACAATTTTAGCAAGTGCATAACATAGACATGCACCTCAATTTGTTTTACTTTCACTTGTGATCTATGTTTTTCTTTTCTATGTCTTAAACCAGAGTGTTCGTCACGCAACACGTGTTTGATGTAAATAAACAACATGTTGTTTACGCCACTTGGGACTCAAGTTTCAAGGACACGATCGCAACAACCCCTCCGCTTTAATATGACGAGCACAAAGAGAAGTTTCAAAAATCCAGTCAACTATTAAGCCTTTTCAACCAACTTGGTTCCTTGGGTGGATTTGTTCATTTTGTAACGAGATCTTCAATTCTTTATTTTTGGTAAATATTTTTGGTAAAAAATGCTATTTTCATTTTCTTCTTCAATACTACCAGCTCAGTTGCTTTGATACCTGGTATGTAGGTACATGTGCTGTCAGATTTGTTCATTTCATGACAATATCTTCATTTTTGTTAAAACGTGCTATTTTCAACGACTTTGAAAACTACAAGTTCATTTGCTTTGATACGTGGTTTGTAGTTTTCTTGGGTGGACCTCTGTCAGATTTGTTCATTTCTTTTTTTTGTCATTTTTGGTAAAAAAATGCTATTTTCGACTTCTTCTTGAAAACTACCTGCTCAATTGCGTTGATACCTTGGGTGGACTTCTGTCAGAATTTTTTGTTTTGTGATGATATCTTCAATTCACTATTTTTAGCAAATATTTTTGGCATCTTTGGTAAAATGCTATTTCCAACTTCTTCTTTGATACTTGATAGATGAACCTCTATCAGACTTTTTCATTTCGTGACAATATTCTCAATTCTCTATTTTTGAAGAAATCTTTTTAAATTTTTGAATTCTTCTTGAACACTACCAACCCAATTGTTTGACGAAGTTAAGTTGACATGTTCTAAACAGCCAGAACCAAACTACTTTTTTGTTGGTTACTCGCATTATATTCTTATGTGTGTGCTTTGCTCAACTTGCAATTGGGTAACACAATGTTCTTCTAGGATAGCGGAGCTATTTTGACCGTCAAGTCGATTGTTAGACTTTGCTATCTTAAACAACTTTTTCTACATTCGAGGCAACATTATCGGCTTGCCAACCATTGTTTACAATTTCCCATAAATATTTTCCTATTTTCCAACCAACTTTTTGACTTTCAAAGCAATTTTCTAGGCAATTTTTCTCTTCTAAAATCATTTGTTTCAGCTTTCTCGGCAACGTTTTAGGCATTCCAACCAACTTTATTGACTTTCCAAGGAACTTCTCAAACTTGCATACTTTGAACCAACATTTTCACTTTATATACTAGTACATGTATATTTTCTTTTACTGATCTAAATGTAGTGTAGTGTACTTGTCAGTTGTTTTGTTCGTGTTAATCGTTTTGTCGATTATTTTATTTACTTGGACTTTGGTGTGAGATTTTTTAATATAAAATATTACTGGAGATGTCGGGGATTGAACCCGAGGCCTCTCACATGCGAAGCGAGCGCTCTACCACAGAGCTACATCCCCCATTGATTACTTCATTCTTCTCTTACGTTTTCGCGCAGACTAGTTGTATTACAAGTCTGAGGTTTTCGCAATGCATAAATTGATGATTATGGCCCAATGAAACTGTTGATTTGCCAACACGCAATACACACCGACACGCAACTGCAGTATATTCCGCCTAGTGTATTTATGTAATCCGCAATATTCTCCCATTATTTCGAGCAATATATTGTTACATGTAATTTATTCTTTCATCTTTCTAACCATTCATTTGTTAGATTTGTAATAAATTGTCAGTTTATTAAATATACGTCAGTGTCATGTAACTCATTGGTACAGCGCCCGCTACATGTGAAAGGCCCCTCATTCAATTCACTTCATATTCAATGATTTTTTTGCGATGCTTTACAAATGTTTAAATTAGACCAGGAATGAAACTTAACTCATTCAACTACTTTAATTACGAGATTTCATCAGTTGATTCATTGGTTCATTAGTTGGTACCCTTATTCATGTATTCCCATTCATTCATTCATTCATTCATTCATTCATTCATTCATTCATAGAATACATCGGGGTGTGGCTCTTATAATGTGTTTGCTTCGCGTGTGGCAGTCTTCGCGTTCAATCCATCAGCATATTCAGATCACAGATACCAATGTGAATTTCACGTTCAGGTAAAACAATGAACCACTTCAGGTGGGATTTCGTTCGTCCATTCATACATTTTTCCTGACTGTAAAATCCACTTAAGGTGATAATCTGTCAAGTTATAATAATAGCCCATAAGGTCTATCACCAAAGTTAGACGCAAACAAGTTACGATGAACACATTTCATTTTAATTTCTTCATCGAATCAAAGTCAAATTGTGCATTTGTTCTATCAATAGCGGATGTTAAGACATAACATGATATTGTGATACGGCAGTCTGTGTGTATAATAGACTACATATGATCAGTAGTTCATTTCTGTTTTCTTGGATGTTTGAGGAAGAGATGCTTTAAATCAAATAAAATTTTGAATTTACTAAAATCAGTGGAAGATGTCGGGGATTGAGCTCGATGTCTCTAAACATGCGCAGCGAGTGCATTGACAAAATGGATTATCTGATTTGTGCTATTTGACAAGTTTTAGTTCGTGTGCAAAGACAAAATAAAATCATTGCATTCCCATGGTATTGCATGGTTGTTTTACAGTCCCTGCGATAAAGGAACTATGGTTGCTGCTGTGATACATGTGTCGCAATCTCACCTCAATTACAATGTATTTACCCTGTTCCGCGTTTCCAATGAAATTCTTCCGACGAAGAATTAAATAATATGATGAATTTACTAAAAGAAGCCCGAGAGTGGAGATGTCGGGATCTGAACCCGAAGCCTCTCACATGATGCGAAGCGAGCTCTCTACCACTTAGGGAATGACCATTTATTATTCCTAAAAGGGGGGGGGGGCAATTCACGGTGCTTTTTCAAAAAAATCAATCAAATTTATTAACTTTGTAAAAGAGGGTGCCCCTTTAGAAAAAAATGAACAATTTGTTACCCCCTCTATATAAATATATATATTCATGTATTTTTATTGATCTTTTTATATTATATTTAAATATATTCAGTTTATTTATTTTGTTTTCAATAAAAAAAATTGTGTCTTAATCTTTAAGAGAAAAATATTTGGAAAATATGTTGACCCCCCTCTGTTTTGCCCGACCCCCTCAGGAA